TCTTAAGCATGGAACCTGAATTGTATAGGGCATCAGCAGGCAAATGAGAAGGTTCCTGGTTGATCTTCTTAACACATCCTCTCTTTCCCACAATTCTCTATTTTACTCAAACATAGTACTTTAAACTCATATTCATAAGCATCTCCCATGAGATAATAGATCCTTATTTTGCTTCTCTTTATAATTTTCATATAGCAAGTTTGGGTGACAGTGGCCCTCCAGATACTGTTGCCTGCAGGCTCCATGGTCTCTTCCTATTGACTATTCTCAGTACAGTATATCTTGTGAAAGTTTCATTTCTGGTGGCTAAGCATTTGGAGAATCACATAGTTGCTCACTCTTGGCTTACAGTATCAAAGGATTACAACAATGCCTTTAATGAGTTGGTATGGATTTGGATATACGTATACATTTTTACATTTCTCATGTTTGAATGACATAGGAAGCTTTAGTCCAGGTTTGCAGAACTAGATGGAAATAACAAATGGACTAGCCTGGTTGCTCCCAGACTTTGGAATGTGCTGCCCAAGTCTCCTCCCTCTTGTTCTTTCATAAGACAAAGACCTTCCTTTTCAGGCCGGCTTTTAATCAATAAGTATATCAGGAATGCCATGCTTAGGAGATTTTAAAAGAATTTGAAATACTTTAAAATTATTTCTAATCTGATTTTAATCTTGATTTTTTAAAAATATGGTATTTATATGGTATTTTAAAATACTGATTGTTGTATAGTTTTAGCTGTTGTGAGTCGCCTTAGGTTCCCATGGGCCTCTCTGCATCACATGAATGAATGATTGATTGATTGATTGAATGAATGAATGAATGAAGGAATGAATGAATGAATGAATGAATGAGAACAGAGTATACTCTTAAAAATCTTGTCTTGTTAGGCAAGAATTGTTTATTAACCTCTGTGAGCCATGATGGGTTATTCCTTCTCATATCAACTGGAGTTGTTGAGTACTACCTTTAATTATTTTTTCCCATTTTTGTTACTATTTGAAATACATGCATTGTGCTCAGTTTTCGTGAAATAACAAGCTGACAACTTGAGACTGCAGGATCGTGAAGAGTGTTAGTTCACTGTCTTCAATAGAGTAAAGCTTTACAAGAACTGTAAATGGATCCCAGATTTCATAAAATTGTGCACTATCACCACTTCCTTGTAGAGTCCAGACTTGAATAGTTAGCTTTTCTGTAAGTCCTGAATACTTAAACAAAAGCTACTTATATTTTGTCATACCAATGAGAAATAGTAATATACGTCATGCTCTTTGGCTCGGGCACGTCATGAGAATGGCTGATGGTCGGATTCCAAAGGATCTCCTCTATGGAGAATTAGTACAGGGAAAGCGCCCCAGAGGGAGACCACAACTGCGAACAAGCTGACAACTTGAGACTGCAGGATCGTGAAGAGTGTTAGTTCACTGTCTTCAATAGAGTAAAGCTTTACAAGAACTGTAAATGGATCCCAGATTTCATAAAATTGTGCACTATCACCACTTCCTTGTAGAGTCCAGACTTGAATAGTTAGCTTTTCTGTAAGTCCTGAATACTTAAACAAAAGCTACTTATATTTTGTCATACCAATGAGAAATAGTAATATATGTCATGCTCTTTCAATGGTCTGCAATAACCAGCCTGGCAGCTCAACAGAAAATTGAAACCAGCTGCTTATATAATAAATTCACATTTTCCCCTTGAAACAATGTCAGCATGCTGAGGGAGGGGGCTAAGTTTTTCCTGTCTCTTTAAAATATATATATATTTTTAGTTCCAAAAATTTTGAACCTTGGGACGCAGCCACCATGTGCAATAATATGATCCATAATCATGACAGCCTCTCCAGCACTTAGACTAATTGTGTTATTAATTTCATTTTATATTTGATGTCAGACATCACTTTCCATGTTAATTTGAAACTGTGTTCCTTTATATCTGTGGTTTCAGGCATCCGTGATAGATCGTCCTACAGTTTTCAGAATTCCTTGTGATTGTAAAAATAATTTGTCTTCAATATATATTGGAATAGTTTGCAATAATTAATTCATTTTTGGTAGTTTAATGAACTTAATGAGCTTATGCTGCTATCCATCCAAACCATGATAATTTATATTTTGACCAACCTTTGAGTTATGTAACCTTGTTAAATAGAGATTGCCACTGCACTTTCTCTATCTGCCTGCTTGGTTCAGTTTGACCCTGTAACACAGTGGTCCTCAACCTTGTGCCTCCAGATGTTCTTGGACTACAACTCCCAGAAGCCTACACCACCACCTCTTCCGGCCAGGATTTCTGGGAGTTGAAGTCCAAGAACACCTGGAGGCCCAAGGTTGGAGACCACTGCTGTAACAACAGAGGAAGTATCCAGGGCACTGGCTAGCTGCAGGCTTACTCCACCCTCACTCTGCATGGCTAATAAAGCTGTCAACGAGGTCATGGTTGACTCTGCCCTGAACATCATGAACACTTCGCTGAGGGAGGGATGCCTTCCCCCATGTGTGAAGGAAACGATTATCCAGCCCACTGTGAAATGACCTCATTTGGCGACAGATAATATCATGAACTGTAAGCCGATCACCAAAATACCCTTTATGGGCAAAGTGATCAAGGGGGTGATGGAGCAGCTCCAGATATATGCAGAGGAGGAGAATTGCTGTGATCCATTCCAGTCTGGATTCAGGCCTGGTGAGGTACCGAGACTGCACTGGTCACACTTCATGATGACCTTTTAAAAGAGGCTGCCAGGGGAAGACTTATCCTTTCGGTACTCCTGGATCTGCCTTTGATACTGTTAGCCACGGTATTCTCCTCATGTGGGGATCAGGGCTTGGTGCTGAGCAGGTGCTTATTCTTCCTTGAAGGCAGTGTCCAGAGTGTGCAGCTTGGAGATGAGTTGTCAGTCCCTTGGACCCTCAAATTTGGGGTGTCACAGAGGTCAGCAATATTCACAATGTTTTTTAACATCTATGTAAAGCTATCGGGGAGGTCATCAGGAGGTTTGAAGTACATCATCAGTGCACTGATGATAAGCAACTCTTCTCTCTCCCCTTTACAACCTCTGCAGTGGATGTTGTCAGAATGTTGGAGTGGTGCCTGACTTCATTGTTGGAATGGACCAGGGCCAACAGGCTCAAACTGAACCCTGCCAAGAGGATGCTTATTCTTCTGGTAGGGCCTTGGATAGGTTGGGGTGATTACCACTAGACCTCCTGGATAGGGATTGAGTTTGAAAGCTCAATGTGCTTCTGAACCTGGCTCTGACCTAGGATTCCCAGATTATAGCTATTTCTAGAGCAGCCATCAATCAGTTGAAGTTTATTACCCAACTCTTCTCCTGCCTAGATAAGGGAGCCTTCAGGACATCGGTGCATGCATTGGTCGTCTCTTGGACTGTAACTACTGTAACTCTCAGCTTCCCTTGAGGCTGATCCGGAGACTATAGCAGGTCCAGAATGTGGCAGTCAGGCTGGTGGTGGTGATGGTGGGGTGAGTAAATTCGATCACATCGAACACAGCATCAGGCTCCTAAAAGCACCTGCCTACTGAAGAAACTGCTACCAGTCTTCTTGTGGTAAACTCCTTCTAAATACAGTGGTGCCTCGCATAGCGAGGTTAATCCGTTCTGGATTAACCCTCGCTATGTGAAAACATCGCTGAACGGATCAAGAAAACCCATTGGTTTTCATCGTTTAATGTGTTCCAAATGGGCCGAAAACTCACAGTTCAGCGATGTTTTCCTATGGCCGGCAGCCATTTTCGCGCCCTCCCCTAGCTTACCAAGGGCGCGAAAACGCTGCGCGCGGCCATTTCGGAGCTTCCGGTGGCCATTTTGGAGCCGCCGAGCCGCTGATCCATGGGTCGCAAAGTGAAGGTCGGTAAGCGAAACGCTTACTGACCTTCGCTATGCGAGTTTCACCCATTGGTGCCATCGCTTTGCGATCGAAAAAACCCCTCGCTATGCGGATTCGTCATTCTGCAGTGCGCTCGTTAAGCGAGGCACCACTGTACACCTTGACTATTTACTCAAGAATGGGACCGGACTTAGCTTGGCCTAATTAGCTTCATCTAAGTATGTTTTGTGTTGTGTGTGTGTGTGTGTGTGTGTGTGTGTGTGTGTGTGTGTGTGTTTGTTTATTTATTTATTTCGTTATTTATTTATTTGATTGCTTTATATTTGTGCATACATGTGATCTATTGTTAAAGATATTCTTTATATTTTATTTTATGTTACTCTGGATGTAAACTCCCAGAGTAGTGCCCAGCACTAATTAGTGCTGTATGCAAGTGTAACCTGTAACAAATAAACAAATCCCTATCTAAAGTTGTACTGTATCTCAAAATACGGTAATCCTTCAAGACTGGAGCAGAACATGTTTCCTCATGTTCTGTTCTTAGTTGAAACAGAGTCATGTATCAATTAAGATTGGTGATAAAAGTAAATGGATATAATGTAATGCTGTGATAAAGGGATTGCTTGGACTTGAAGGACAATAGAGAGGAATGAATTTGTACACGGAACCTGATATTTTCTAACCTCAAATTAACACTTTGTCCTATTGGAGCACAATGTTATCATGTTTTATCATGGAAATATTCTGCCATGTGTTGCAGTAATGATTGCTGCTGAAAATAGAGGCTGCAGTTTGGCATTGTATTGATTTTCTAACTAGTATCTGGAACGATCATCTCCATGATTTCAGGGGTTTCAGAGAGAAGTGAAAACAGTTTTTTAAAAATTTGATGTACTGTAATGCAATAATAGCTATAAAATTGCTCATTATTTAGGTGCAACATTTCTTAAACTAAGACGGGAATTATTACTACATGCTGTATGAAAAGAACTAGTCATGTAAGCTTGCCTAATTAGGTGAAACTTGATCCACCATATCTACTTGCTGTCACAACTGTGATCTGTTTTCTTTCATTAGCCTGTGTTATCTTGGCACGTCATTACCTCTTGTGTTCATTTACTTAGCAGACCAGAGGAATATCCATTTATGTAGATTCTCATGCTGAAGCCTGAGCACAGAAACTATTTTAGGTTTCAGCTATCCCTTTTGATTTCATTTGTACAAAATCTTTTTTATTTGGGATTTACACATGAAGAACATTTTAAGAATGATTCTTGAAAGTATTTTGAACACATCAAAAGAGAATGCATGGCAACTGGGAAGGAGTGGTATGGATCAGAAAAGTAGAAAAATAGGCAAAATAATGAAAAGAAAGGTGAGAGTGGACTGACATAACTGTACTTTGATTATTATGACTGCACTTTAAAGTGAGCAACACTGCTTTCATCTTTAAATGAGTTTCTCTTCTGCTAGATTTGCACATGTTATTTTCAAAAATTGCTTCATTTTCATTTTATTTCTGTTTCAATTCTACCAAATAACATTATTTCAGAATTTGCTTACAATCATAATTTGTAGTCTCTGTGTTACAAAATTAGATTCTAGATGTTACAAACCTCTGGTGGTCATTATTAGTAACAAGTAGTTTCTGCTCCTCCTGTTTACAGTATTCCGTATGTAAAATCATTCTTCTAATGAAGTATCATGTACATTATTAGGTTTGTAGTATTTTAGCTTATCATTGCTATTCATGAAAAGAACTGGTTGCTTAATTGTTCTATTAACCAATTTCATTAAAATAAATTAAGGGAGTAAAAAGCATTTTCTGCAAAATACTTTATTCACAGATGCGTTGCCAGAGAATTCTGTGATGAGCTTACTGAGTAACAATGTACAGCTATTTTGTCTCATTTATTTTACAAATGAAGGAAAGTTGAAGCAACAATTTCATATTTGTATTTGAGGTCTCTATTTCTTTACAAGTGGCATATTCCTTCATAAATATTTGTAGGATAAAGAGCACTGCATTATCTTCCATTGAACAAAAGGCTGTACAGGTGAAAGATTCTGAAGTTTATTTGGCATGGTTTGACCTTGCAGTGTTGATTTACAAGGTCATATGTTGAGCTTTTTTTTTACAACTGACAGTTATGAGTTTTTTATGTTCCCTATGAGTATAAATGGAATAAAACCTTACCTTGCCTAGAATACGTAGAAAATTCTAAAATGGTTGTTCTGTATTTTATATATAATATTAATAATCACAAATAATGCAATTAATGTGAAAGATTCAGTTCATAGTATCCTTAGAGTCAGTTCATGTTACCATTGCTTAGTGCAGTCATGAACTCATTCGTTGCGTGGGGTTGGAAACTGGGATGAGCACCACCCCCTATAGTCGGACACAGCTGGACTGAATGTCAAGGAGAACCTTTACCTTTAAGATGAGCTAGTTGAATGCTCATCTTAGCTAGGCTAAGCTTTGAAGCTAAGGCTTTTTTTGGGCTGAGGCCACTTTGCAATTACAGTGGACCCTTGACTTACAGACGGCTTGATTTACAGACTTTTTGAGTTACAGACTTCTCTGGCCGCAAAATTTAGGTTTGACTTGCAGACTGAGATTTGACTTACAGACCAGAAAAAAACCAAAATGAAACAAAAACGGCCTGTTACGGGATTAATCGGTTTTCAATGCACTGTAGGTCAAAGGAGACTTGACTTACAGACTTTTTGACTTGAGAACCGCCTTCCAATACGGATTAAGTTCTCAAGTCAAGACCCCACTGTATGCTGCAGTATACGCTAACCTCTTCAGTTCCTTCCCCTACAACTTATTTGAAAGTGAGTCTTCTGTTTCATAGCTGTAGAAGTAACCAGACAGCCACAAGAACTGCATTTTTCATGGAAATCTAGGCCCAGAATGCTGCCATGTAGCTCCCCAGGACTGCTTTATCAGGATTGCTGAAGGAGGAAAGAAAAACCCTGCTGGAATGTATGGTTGTGTCTTTGTTTTCAGCAAAGTGGGAAGTCAGCATCAAACTAGCATCCCATGCAGCAACTGGTACTGAATACACTTACTGATGTCTGATCTCAGATTAAAGTTGTTTTACTTTTTGTAGTGGGTGTGAATGCGTGAAGAAAATATGTGGTAATATTGAAGAGAGCTGGCAGCAGATGGAGCTCAATTTTTTGAGTGGATTTGGGCTTACAATATAGTATCTCTCTCTATATATTTTTTCTTTTTTCTCTCTTTTTAAGTCATGCCATCGTGGTAATATCTCGTTTGGAATTTAATTGCTATAATTGTATTTTGTGTGATTTTATGCATGTTATATTGATGTGTTTTTATCGATGTAAGCCACCTCGAGTAGACATAGTCTGGAGGGGCGGGGGAAAAATCAATCAATCAAACAAACAAACAAATAAACAAATAAATAAATCTGTTTTGGAGAAAAGGCAGATTTCCTTGCTTTTGTTCCCCACAGTAATGACTCCTGTCCCAGTTCCAAGAGAGAGATTCTTGATCTGTTGGACAGCTCATTCCTTCTTGTCCCCACCACATACTTTACTTTGTGATAGTGTTTTCTCAACAACAACAATAAGAGCAGTAGCCATGTTACTGTATGATCCAGGTGATTTTGGCCGGCCTTTTTCTCAAGAGGCATAGCAGGAACATGAACTCCTGGTTTTGTTGGCAGACCATCCAACACACCGAACTGTTTAATCTCATGGTTGTTGTGGGTTTTAATCTCACTTTTCTCTATAATAGGAATAGTATTAGCATTATTAGTCATTTGTTGCATTAAATGTATGCCTGCCTTTGTTTAAGGACAACATTCAGTAGCCTTCAATCTACATGATCTATACAGTATCTTTATTTAAAAATATTTTTGTACTGCTTTCATTTTAAAAATCTCAGAACTGCTAACAAGAAAAAGAGATATAATAAAAATCAATTTCCAGTGGTGCTGGGGTGGTGATGACGATGATGACAATGACAGTAAAACTACTAGTTAGAAAAACCTAACCAGTAAAATGACAGCTGGGATTAGGGGGAAAGAGAGGCTCTACAAATGTGTAGTATGATAAAAAAAAATCTGAAATCGTTCATATCAAAGATATAGACCTAATTCATCAGAAATAATAGAGCAATAGTACTTTTGAAAGCTACTACAGACTGTAGTACAGTACCTCTTTTTTCCATAGAGGCCTTAGACTTTTTTGCACCAGAAACATGAAGTGTTGTGAATTGTTTCTTGTTCTAGTGAGGAGACAAGATCTGTTAAAATGTAACCATCTGAGTTTGGTTTTTCTTAATGGTTGCTTTAAAAATTGTGTTTTAGGCCGTAACTTAATTTTATTATTTCTTTTTCATAAAGATTTTTTTCCTGAGAGAAAGACATTGTGAAGAAAGTATTTGGTCTGAAATACATTGAAACATAAAAACCTATTAATTTTCATATGGAGGCAGTATAAAAAAATAATTGTGGGCTAATGTTAAAGATAAAAATGAGGATTTTTAATTTCTAAACTACTGGAAGAATGCAAGGTTATTTTAGTTTATGCTTTTCTTTCTTTTAAAATGAAGTTAACTTCTTGAAAAAGGATGATTCTTCTTAAGGAACTGGGGCTATGACTAAGTTGAAGTAATACATTTGAACTTGAGAGATGAGTTTTAGGAAGCAGCCAAGTCACAATTATCTCAGATCCAGGCATTTACTGCTGTTGTGCTAAGAGCTTGGGCAGGCTCCCTAATAATATGCCTCCCCCCCCGCCCTCCGAAACAACAGACCCCCTCTCCCACGAGATTACAGTCTGCTTCTGAAATTCCCCAGTGTTGGGAAAGAGTTTATGTGGAGGCTGCCATTCAAGAAACACAAGGTTAAGGTTAACTCTTCCAACTATCATGTGGAACCAGTAGTACACTTTTCCAGATTTGGGATAGTGTTTGCCTTATTGTCCTTTGTCATGACAAATAAAGTTAATTTCCGGAACACAGCCAAACAGCCTGAAAAACCCACAACAACAATCAGATCCCAGCTGTGAAAGCCTTCAAGAACAGAAAGTTAATTACTGTTTCATTATTGTTGAGGGTTTGGCCAAAAGACCAGTTTCCTTCTGATGCTAAGATTTGGGCTTGCCCTTGATTTTTTTAAAAGCAAAATACCTTCCTTCCTGGCTCTTCTGGATTTCCCAGTAGATCTCGGTTCCATCAGACTGCATTATGTAACTTAATAAGTGCTTAATTATAAGTCATGTATGTATATATTGTTGTGTTCACTGACTGTAGCACAATGATTAAGAGCATCAAATTAGAGCTTGAAGTTTCAGGTTCAGCCATAGCATCACTTGGTAGTTTGTTTATTGTCACCACAGAATGCCATCTGTAATGAAGCCTTTCTATTCCATTGTTTTAATATAGAAAGCTGTTTAATGTGTTACAGATGGCAGGTTCAGTGTGCCAAAGCAGAACATGTATGACGTAGTCCTGTTTACAGAGTTCTGGTCCCCAAAGGTTTTGGCATCACAGACCCATATTGGAAACCCTTAATGTCCCACCTCTCCTTTACTAACACTTTCTATCTATCATAATTTAAAATTAAAAGTACAGTATACACAAAAATATACTAAAATAATTTAAAATTTAAAATAAGCATAAATAAACTCAGCTGGTGAGCACATGGATAAAGGTCCTGTGACTGTGTTCTTTCTTGCCTGGTTCTTCATTTTCCTTCATTTCCTCTTGTTTATGTGGCTTGTCATCCTATAGCCATATTTGTGTGGCTATTAGCCACGACCCCCCCACACACACACACAGTTGAAGAGCTACAGGGCTCTTGCTCTTTGCTGTCCCTGTTCCTTACTTGCTGTATGCTGATATTTGAGAGGCTATTTCTCTTTCTTATCCCCTCTATTGTTTCTTGTTTGCCTGCAGTCATGGTTGTCTCCAGGCAAATGCTTTGAAGCCATGTAGCAGTGGCTAGTGTTGAGCAATGCCAGGTGGCAGCTCTATTTACATGTAGTTCTCCGTTTCCATCTCTCCCATTTTCTTACCACTTGATTGTAGCCGCTACCCCTGGTGGAAATGCTAAGTTGTGACATTTCCACTAGGGGTAGGTGGAAAGAGCTGTGTGTTTATTGAGGGCCAGGGCAACTTCTTTGTCTTGTTGGCCGATCACCCCTGCAGCTGAATTTCAACCTGTTTGTCTGGAGATCCCACTGACAGACACATCTTCTGGTGAATGAGATTTCTTGGCTTAGTAAAAGATAAAGGGAATTATGAGGAGGAGGATCCACTTAGATGCCTTCAAGTCTTTGTTCTGGAGATGATTTCCTTGCCATGTCTCTTCGGAATATGTTCAAATTCCCTATATTGTTTGATCCATCTTGTCTCACAGCCATTTGAATGTCTTGCTGCCCCTCTCCCAAGTATCACTAGTGTTAAGAGTCTCACTCCTGCTATTCTGAAATACTGAATCCCCCAATTTAGGAGCCGTGGTTTTGAGATAGCACAGGCTTTCCTTCTGTGGAGCCTTCTACATATGAACATGTTGGTCTCACATCTTGATTCTTCACCAGACTCTGCAACTTCTTCAGTTTTTTTAGCCATATGGTAGAAGATTACTTCTTTCTGTGCCACTTTTACAGAGTAAAAGTCATTCACAGATTTTCCTTTCCAGCTCAAGGTATGCTGATTGTGAAGTCATCCCATTTGCTGTAGTATTCTAAGGAGTTGATAAACCTCAGATATTGTTGTCTGCCTGAAATTGCACAAATAACAGTCACTATATGGGCTACAAGATGAGGCTGATAGCCATTTTTTTGGCTTGGTGTGTTACCTGTTGTGTGAGTTTGATCTGAGATTGATATTTTAAAACATCTTGTCTTAAGAAGTTTCTCCAGATCCTGTTACCTTTAAGTAATTACCTTAAGTAGTTACCTGAAGTAGTTACGCTGACATAAAAGAAATGTCATAACTTTTTGAGGTGAATTGCCTTAACTTAAGAAACATTGTGAATATTATGTGTTGCATACTGACTTGTGTGACTCAGCATGCAAATGATAATGTTTATAGTGATTTCATAAGGGGCAGTTTGCCTCCAAATGTTATGCCATTTACATAGCTACACAGGAGGATTTTGTCCAGTAGTTTAGAATCAGATGTACTCTTCTGTGAACAGATAATGTCTTCTGTTCTTGGGAAGTCTGATTCCCCACAATGTATGTATTGTGATTTGTGACTTTTCACAGACTTCTTAAAATTTAAGTTGCAATATTGTTGAAGGTCATGCAGTGGAAACTTTTAATTCCTTTGAGCTCCGATTATTAGTACAGTATATGAGAATAATCTCCCCTGGCTGTTTGCAGTTAATTGAGATAGTGGAAAAAGTAGGTTTTGTTGGGATTGTAATCATAAACAACCCCAAATCATGAAATACTACCGGTATGTGGGTTTTTACTGTCAAGTAGATAGTAGCAAGCAGACAGTGAAATAGATTTTTAAAATTATTTCTTCTCCTTATTGTTTTAGTTTCTTCTTTTGTAGTTCTAAGGGGACATTTGTCTAATTTTGTAAAGCTGCTCATGTCCTCTGACTTTAAAATAATTACTTAAAGGTAATGGACTAAACTGTATTTATGCATCCTCTATGCAAGCAAGAAACTGTCCTACTTTTAATGATCATGTTGTCTTACTTTTCCAGATGATATTAACTGTGTTCCTGAGCAACAATGAACAGATTTTGACTGAAGTGCCAATTACACCTGAAACAACGTGTCGAGATGTAGTGGAGTTTTGCAAGGAACCAGGAGAAGGTAGTTGCCATCTTTCTGAAGTGTGGCGTGGAAATGGTAAGTTTTTTAAAAAAGTCTAAATCCAGTAGTTTTAACTGGGGTAGACTCGTTGAGTGAATGATTGGGGTTTCATAAGTTAGCACTTACTGTATTTCCGGTGATATAATGAGTCTGCTCCAATTGGGTCTGACAGTTGGATTTAGCCATCAGCATTCTGAACGAAAGACCTTGATGTTGGGAAAGTGTGAAGGCAAGATGAGAAGAGGACGACAGAGGACGAGATGGATGGACAGTGTCATCGAAGCTACCAACATGAATTTGACCCAACTCCGGGAGGCAGTGAAAGACAGGAGGGCCTGGCGTGCTCTGATCCATTGGGTCAATAAGAGTTGGACACAACTTAATTACTAAACAGCAACAACAAATTCTGAACGAGTTGTTCCATGCTGTAACTTGTACTTTTACAAAACATTCATATGGTGTTATGCCAAAATTACTGTTTTTATTTTTCCTGAAGATATTAATCCTTCTTTGTCTCTCCAATGCTTCCTTATTTCATCAGTTCTCAAATCTTTCAACATAGGAAGACAATGTATTGTCCTTTTATTCTCAGCCACCACCTTTAGGCTCAGATTGAGAAATTAGTTCCAAATTGTCAAGAGGTGCTTGCTAATATGAAAATCAGAAAAAATAAAATAAAAATAAAGGGTTTAGATATGTGGGAATTGCATTGAGATGCTGTGCTTTGTCTTCGGTAATAATTATTGATTTATTAATCCATTTATTTGATACAGTGGTGCCTCGCTTAACGATTACCTCGTTAAACAATGAAACCGCTTGACGATGAAGTTTTTGCAATCGCTTTTGCGATTGCAAAACGATGTTCTAATAGGGAAAAATTGCTTAACGGATTCCTCGCTTTACAGGCACCGAAAATGGCCGCCCCTATGGAGGATCTTCGCTGGACGCTGAGGTATTTAGCCCATTGGAATGCATTGAACCGGTTTTCAATGCATTTCAATGGGCTTTCTCGTTTCACTTGACGAGGATTTCGCTTAACAGCGATTTCAACGGATCGAATTATCCTCATCAAGCAAGGCACCACTGTACTTTTCTAAAAACATAGTCTTACCAAGGTGATTTATTGCACAAAGCCAGTACAATTCTGATAATAAAATATTCACAAAATCACATAACTGTTTAAAAATAAACCACTTACAATAAAATAAAATTCATATCAGCAACAAATTCCATAATGCCTTACAGTTAAAAGCAGGCAGAACACCTATTTTAAAACCATCTTAAATGTAATTGAACATGTACACTACTATATATTTCATGGGAGGGACTTCCATAAGGTAGGGCCCACACTGGAATACCTGCTCTTGCTGATAGCCTGCTGTGTTTTAGAATCAGATATATTATTAGTTATTCTGAATTCTTAAAATAATCACACATTAATACAAATACACACAGTGATTAAGATAACCTGGGTTTACATTATTTAGGATTTTAAGGGCAAGAACCAACTTATTGAATTAGATCTGATAATATATCTACAACCATTGCCACTAATATTCATTCATTCATTATTTTGACTTGCATACTCTCCCATAGAACAATGCACTAATGTAATACTATTTCGCTGTCCAGCCTACAATAGGGAAGTAATTATCTGTACCAGCTGAAGTTTTCAAGTCACCTTCTAAGGTGCTCCCACATCGAGTTCATTACCAAGGCCTTGTCTGAATATCTACAGAGTACATAATTGAAGCCGGTTCTGCTTTCCCTAGGTAATGTCACAGCTGACAAAACATAGTTTATCAACATAGTTTTTAATGTATAATTTATTTTGTTTTTAAGTCTAATTTTTTAACACTGTGAGCTGCCTTGAGTTCCCTTATTGGGAGAAAGACAGCCTATAAATAAGACAAATAAATAGATAAATATAAAAATAATCCTGAGGTTAGGCCCCTCAGCTGTTGATACCAGCTATGCTACCATAAACAGCACCGTCAAGCTGTGGACATGGTTCTTCAAGGAGCTGCAGTCCTATTCAATTCCAGTTTCGTCCTTCTGTCCAGATTAGCAGAGTCTCCCTCCCAAATACGCCTGTCTTTTTTGCTTTAAACTTTTCCAAATACTTCTAATTACTCAGAAGATCCACATGCCCACCTGGAAATAATACATAAAGTTGTGTATCATCTGTCACATAATAGCTCAGAGTTCTGATTATTTCTTCCAGTGCATTTTTGTACATATTAAATAGCACGAGGACAAGTTTAATTTTGCGATATCACACGTTACCTCTTTCTTCTTCGTGGTATCTGCAATTGACATACATGGTTTCTTGCACCTGCTTAGAACAGACCACAGAAACTTCCAGAACTCAGTAGCCTCAAATGTCTTTCCTCCTCCTGTTTCTATCATGTATGCCCAGCCATTCTTTCATTCCTTTATCCATCATGTCAGTAACATCTACAGAATATCAGAATCCATACAATAGCCTATTAAAAACTTCTTACTTCACATACCTTGTTTTTCCTTCAGTGTCTTTCCATCATAACCTGCATAAGAAAAAAAAAGGAATGGAAAAGGAAAGGAAAAACAGTTGTTGTTGTCTTCCTATCCTTCCACTAACGGATTATCCTGCCTTTTATATGGTTTCTACAGCATTAATTTTTTAAAAAATGCTCAGAGAGTGGACAAATAGCTTTATTGCCTAAGGGAGGACTATTTGACATAAAACTTTGTAAAAATTTTATTGGAGTGGCTTTGAGAAATCAGTAATCATATTTGAAGTTATTTCTTCAGGAAAAAATCTCTTAAAGCCTCAGAATCTGCATCTTAGCAAACTAAAAAAGCATCTTCAAAGCAGTCAGATTCAAATTCACAGTCACCATTGAGGCATTCATGCTGCCAAACAGACCTTTTTGCACCTTCTTACTACAATGCTTCTCTATATTACTATGCAGGCGTTGATTGGCTAGATGTCATGCAAAGATCATTGTAGACATACTGTAGACTGATCTGTAAAGAATGTGGCAACAGCAATAACTTTATGAAGGCATGCATGGTTAAGATCTGCAGGGGTGACACAAGACTCCAGATCAAGAATCAGAGCTCTCCCCTTTGATGGGGAAGGTCTGTTTAATAGACAGATGAGATCATGGGAGATCTATTTAAAAAGAAAACAACTGCTAGGCAGATAGGCATTAATATGAACCAAAAACATTGGTGGAAAGATACTATCCAAATTTCAGAAATAAGTCACCATCAAAGAAATTTCACAGTTCCAAACACTTAACACCACCATAACAGCACAGGGAACAAAATTAGTGCAGCAAGCTCAAGTGCTCTTTGACAGCTAGAACACTGGACAAGAAAAACAAGCATGACCATTGACTTTTCTCTCACCAAGAACAACAACATAACAGAATTATACCTCTTCATTTTTTCAGCTGGTGTCTTAGTGCCTTTTATCAACTCCCGGTACATTGTCACCAGCAATGCTTGGGTCTTATCCATCTTGGTCCAGGGTTCAGGTATAGACCTTATCCAACATGCCATATCTGTACCACCACACCAGCAGATGTCCTGAAAGAAGAGATCACAACTTTACTCAGAAAGTGTGTAGTAACCCAATGTCCCCGTCAAATGTGAAAGATGTACCCTGTTTTCCCGAAAATAAAACCTAACCTGAAAATAAGCCCTAGTATGATTTTTCAGGGTGCATGTAATATAAGCCTTATCGCCAAAATAAGCCCCAGATAAGTGAAACCCCACCCTTCACCATTGTGCAGCATTGTGCAGCAGCCAGAAGAAGATGGCATGACTGGTAAAACATCCTCTTAAAATAAGCCCTAATGTATTTTTTGGAGCAAAACTTAATATAAGACCCTGTCTTATTTTCAGGGAAACACAGTATATTATCCCCGATTCATCCCATTACCTAGAAAGACTGATGGTTTGTGGTTAGTCTAGATCTCAGAGTAAATAAATTCAGTTTTGTGTGGTACAGTGTTGTGTTTGAAGAACGTCTACTTCCATATCTTCATAAGACCAGATCACAGTCACTGTCTGCATTTGCAATAGGCAAGGAGGCATATGAGTTCAAAGTGCTTCCCTTCGGCTGACCAACAGTCCCAAGAGTATTTATGCATGGTGCCAGTGGCAACTTACCTTCAGACACATAGAATCACCACTTCCTGTACATGGATGATTGGCTCCTGGTGGCAGACACTCAGAACACTTTTCAGAGCAACATGCAATCCACATACCACCTGCACTCAAATTTTTGCCTCTGTCAACTTGCTGAAATCTCCTCTTGTTCCATCAAAGCAAATCTAACACATAGAGGCCATTCTCTAATTAAACACAACATGGGAATACCTTTCAGAAGAGAGAATGCAAAAGAAAAGAAAAGTCAACAGTACAACAGAGCTGTGTGGAAGGGCTTCAGTGACAACTCATTTGGTACAGAAGCTGCTCAGTCTCATGGCACCCACCACTGCCGTCTTGCTTCCTGATAAACTTCCAACAACAGAAAACACTCTCAGTTCAAAAAGATTATAGTCTCAGTGGATGTCACCAGACAACTACAGTGATGAACACCAATACCACATCTTATGATGGGTATACTGTTCCAACAGCTACAGCTGTCAGTCCTTGTAACAGGGGATGCTAATATGATAGGTTGGGAAGCTCACTGCAGTCTGGATAATGAATGGGAGACATCCCATCAATTATTTGGAAATACAGCAGCTTTCAAACTTCTGTTGTCAACACAGTTGGGCAAAACTAATGTATCTTGTCAGTAAACAAGGAGGCAAGAGATCTGTCCTTTCCCTGCTGACCATTCATCTCTGGGAATGGTGTGTATCTAGGCACATTTTTTCTAATGTCCACATATAGAGGAGAACAATCAACAGGCAGATTGCCTGTGCAGAACACTAAACTGAGTAGCATGAATGGGAATTATCTCATCAAGCTTTTAAGATGATAACTGATGGCGAATTCTGCAAGGTGACATATTTGCATCTCACACCAATTGCAAATGCACAGGGTCAACATTTGATGGGAGATGTTGTCACAGTTTGTTGACAGAGAACTCTGATGTACTTATCCATATCTTATTTCTTGATTCATCAGTTGTTGATCAAATTCAGACAAGAGAAGACAAATGCTGTTCTTTTCGCACCCTAGTAGCCGTATCAACCGTGGTTTGACACATTACCCCTAATGGCAAGCAACATATTCAGATTGCCTCTCTGCCTGGACCTTCTGATATGCCAGAACAGCACAGTTTGTCACCCAAATGGTAGATCACGTGAAACTCACTGCTTGGAGAACTTGTTACCAGTAAGACAGATAATTCAGTTGGGAATTACCATCTACAAAATGTTCTTATGAATATAAATGAAATGTTTGTTACCTTGGCAGAATCTGTCAATGTCTTGCTACACCTGACTACTCAAGGGAGAACACTATTTTTCAATTGCATCTTTAGGAGACTGGTTTATCTCATTTATCTCAGAAGGCAGCTGTTGTGGTACATAATCTGGCAGACTATCCTTCATCAAAATTGTTCTCAGACATAGCATTTAAAAGATTTCTAAGGCATTTGGTTAATAATTATCCTGATGTGAAATCTTCTCCTTCACCATGCTCTATGTTGGTAGTGCTGACACAGGTAATGAAGTCTCCTTTTGAGCCCATGCTGACATCAAATTTGAGATTATTGACAATGAAAAACATTATTTCTAGTTGCAATAATATCTGCTGTGGAGCCAATGAACTTTGTGTATTGAGCCGTGACTCATCTTATCTGCACTTCCGTAAGGACAAGGTCATTTTGTAACCAAATATTATGTTTCTTCATAAAGTTGTTAGTCCTTTTTATACATTGCAACCATTAATATTGCCAACTTTTTAATCAGTTTCCTCAGACACCAGTAGAGCAATAGCTACATACTATGAATGTTGGGAGACATTTGAAGTTTTATATTATGAAGACTAAAGACTTCAGGACATCCTCAAGGCTTTTTGTCTGTTACCAAGGGCCCCATAAAGGACAGGCTGTGTCATCCTAGTGTTTGGCCAGCAGGGGGTTATGTTGCTGATTCAGTTGGGTTATGATAGAATAAAAATACCTTTGCCAGGTACTTCTGGAAGTCATTCCACTAGACAGGTGACAGTGTTGGCCATTTCCACAAATGTCAGAAGGTTTGTGGAGTTGTTCATGCTGACAGCTTTTGTAAAGCCTTATAAGTTATACTTCCGTGCACAGTTGGATGCCTTTTTCAGCCATGCAGTTTTGTTTTCTGTGTTGGTGTGACACCCTGCTATTTAGTAACTGAAGTTGTTAGTCACCCCTATGTATGAATCATAGAGATTACAAAGAGGAGAAATTACTTACCTGTAACTATAGTTCTTTGAGTGGTCATTTGTGAGTTCGCACAACCTATCCTCCTCTCTGCTCTTGACATGCCTGTATTTAAATGTTTCTGAGTGGCAGGCAGAATGGGATGAAAGGAAATAGCTGGGCATGCACAATAGGGGTAGGAAAATACAAGATGTTAAAGGCTACTGAGCTCTGGAAGTTTCCATGGTCTGGTCTGTGCAGATGCAAGAACTCATGTGTTAGATTCAGAGATGACTACTCATAGAACTACAGTTGCAAGTAAGCACCTGTCCTTCTCTGAATTGTCATTATTATGTATTTGTGATGATAGAATATAATTCCTATATAGCTAAATGTGTACCTTTAGTCTTGAATGTGTAGCTTATATTGTTGTGATGAGTTTCTCGGAGTTGAAGAAGTTGTCTAGCCACCTACTTTTGGCATAAGATAATTTCTTTAATTATCACAAAGTAACATTGGTTTTTCAGGGAAATTAGTTTTTCAGGGACGTGGTGGCGCTGCGGGCTAAACCGCAGAAGCCTTTGTGTGCTGCAGGGTCAGAAGACCAGCAGTTGTAAGATCGAATCCACGTGACGGAGTGAGCTCCCGTCACTTTGTCCCAGCTCCTCGCCAACCTAGCAGTATGAAAGCATGCAAATGTGAGTAGATAAATAGGTACCACCCCGGTGGGAAGGTAAACAGCGCTCCGTGTACAGCCGCACTGGCCACGTGACAACGGAAACTGTCTTCGGACAAACGTTGGCTCTACGGCTTGGAAACGGGGATGAGCACCGCCCCCTAGAGTTGAACACGATTGACTGAAATGTCATGGGGAACCTTTGTGTGTTCAGTCGTTTAGTCGTGTCCGACTCCTCGTGACCCCATGGACCAGAGCACGCCAGGCCCTCCTATCTTCCACCGCCTCCTGGAGTTGTGTCAAATTCATGTTGGTTGCTTTGATGACACTGTCCAACCATCTCATCCTCGGTCGTCCCCTTCTCCTCTTACCTTTAACATTAGCTATTGCAATACATCACAAATATAATCTTAGAATAATGGTGAAGAGTAAACGATGAAATAAAGTTAGATTTATAAATTAAGGTGTTGTATACCTAGGAAGCCACTGGTTCACTAGCTCAATGAATTGGAACTCCTGGCTGCACTGTGCCTCCAGAAAAAAGAGCCAGTTGTGTGGCCTTCAGAAAGCTTACATGATCCCAGAGCAGCCCCAGAGAAGGCATGATAAAGCACTTCTAAGTACTTTATACCTGAAGAACCCCAGTTCGGAATCAGTGGCGTGCATGTTGAACTCAATGGCACACAGTTACTAATTATATCACAGAAGATACTTGCTATATTCTTTATATCACAGCCTCCAGGACCTTACTTTGTGGGACAGTAAAAACAAAATATTTAGTATGAAGCTGGTGGGCAGCAGTATTAGCTTGGTGAGCTGTGCAGAGTTTGGTAGTGTATAAATTCTTCAGAGCTTGTCTAGAGAAATTGTAACCTCATTCTATATTCTGGAAGACTGAAAGAAGACTTTTGTAGTAGGACCAGCAACATCAATTTTCAGGCATTAATGTTTCTTCCCCCATTCTACAGCTTCCAAAGGATTCTCCTGGATGAAATGGATTGCTGGGGTTCCCCAGAATGTGGTGGAGGAAATAGGGAACTTTTAATTCCTCTGAAATAGTCACAGCTGGTGATGTCCTCCTAGCTGCATGGCATGTTGTGCAATAGGATTCTAGCCATTGTTTTGAATATGCTTCAGAAGATAATCCATGGCATATCTCTTTAAAAATGTAAATTTGAAGTTGAGTTGTTTTGAAAACTTTAAGACATTATGCTCGGAGGCTATGTAGACTAGATTATTCACTTGGACCTACTGATTTGGTCAAAAGTTGTCATTTGCCAAGAAATTAAAGCAAATCTACATTTGTTTTATTTACAGCATTTTTACTCCTACCACTGACAAATGTTCAGTGATTTGCTCTGATAATACGGTAAATACTTGTTTTTTTTATATTCAGAACGACACATACCCTTTGATCACATGATGTATGATCATCTGCAGAAGTGGGGACCCCGTAGGGAAGAGGTGAAGTTTTTCCTTCGACATGAAGAATCCCCGACAGAAAGCAATGAACCAGGTGTGCATACTTCTTTTCTTAACATGTTTCTTGTCTCAAGAGCTCGACTATGTAAGATTGTTTTTGTAACCTGAAGTAAGGCATGGTAATATGATAATTAACAGCTTTATAAGTCAGGATTGCTAAAGTATTTCAGTAAAATAGTAGCCCCCTGCATAGGAACTGCCACTACTGTTTGTCCTTCTGCCCAACATTCCTCATTTTTGCCTACTGTTTTCTTTTATTTGCTTTATCTGTTTCTACCATCAGCCTAATATGGGTCCTTTCCCTTTCATTACCAGCCAAATCCTTAGGGAATATTTTCTGTTTTTTTCCCCCCTCCAAAGCAAAATTTAAGTCTTAATTAGAAATGCTGAATACTGAGAGGAAAACCCAGTTTCTGACCAGGATAAAGTAAAGAGTAAGTGGAAACAAGATATTGAAGACTTATACAGAAGAAATAAGAGGACAGCAGATTCCTTTGAAGAGGAATCTTATAATCAAGAACCTGCAGTTTTAGAAAGTGAAATGAAGAAATAAATCACCAGAGGTAGATGGGATAGAACCCATTCTGACAGACATGGGTGTGCCTGGACACTTGATTATTCTAATGTGTGACCTGTATTGTGGGCAAGATGCTAATGTTAGGACAGAATATGAAGAAACAGACTGGTTTACTATGGGCCGAAGTGTCCAACAACAACAAAAATCATAATCATCATCTTAAAACTACATAGCTGAAAAGGACATTACAGACCAATAAGTATCAGGGAGGCACAGTGGGGAATCAGACTCCTAACTCTGGCTCTACAGCTAGATACCTAAGCTATCCTCCCTATTGTGTCAATCTGTATGCAGAGAGATGGATTAGAGTCAGATGAAGGAGAATCAGACTCCTAACTCTGGCTCTACAGCTAGATACCTAAACCACTGAGCTATCCTCCCTATTGTTTCAATCTGTATGCAGAGAGCTGGATTAGAGTCAGATGAAGGAGGGGGTGAAAGTTTGTGGAAGAAATAATAGTTTAAGACATGCAGATGATATCTTTCTACTAGCAAAAACCAACAATGATTTTAAATGACTTTTGATGAAAATGAAAGAAGAAAGTACCGAAGCAGGACTGCAGTTGAACATTAAAAAGAACCAGAGAGCTTTAATGTTGATAATGAAAAAATTTAAATGTTTAAAGATTTTGTATACCTTAGTTCAATCATCGATTCAAATGGAGACTGTAGCCAAAAAAATCAGAAGACTGAGACTCAGAAGGGCAGCCATGAAGGAATTAAAAAAAGATAATTAAGTGTAAGGATGTATCACTAGAGAGCAAGGCTAAGATCATTCAAATTATTGTATTCCTGATTATTGTGTACAGATGTGAAAGCTGTACAGTGAAGAAATCTGATTGGAAGATATTCCTGATTATTGTGTACAGATGTGAAAACTGTACAGTGAAGAAAACTGATGGGAAGAAAATTAATTCATTTGTAATATGGTGCTGGAAGAGAGCTTTTCAGATACCCTAGAGTCTAGACCGCTGGAAAAACAAACTAGTGGATCCTGACCTTTCTCTAGAACCAAAAGTGATGAAAATGGTCTGTCATACTTCAGGCACATCATGGGAATGCAGGAGTCATTGGATAAGGTGGTAGTGCTAGGAGAAGTTAAAGGCAGCAGGAAAACAGGAAGGCTTAATATAAGATTGATTGACCCCATAAAGGAGGCCACAGCCTCAAGTTTACAACAGCTGAGCAGAGCTGTTGAAGAGAGGACAATGAAGATCACTCATTCATAAAGTTGCCATAAGTTGGAGGCCACTTGACAGCACATAACATAAGCAAGAACATATTTATTCCTGCAAGCAAAGCTTACTATCCTTTAAAATTATTTTACCTCCTTTTTGGCAGTGATCCTTTTAGCACTGAACCCTCTACCTTATACACACTGCTCTCCATGTTTAGATTTTTTTTTTGCCGTCTTATGTTTTTTGCCCACAATGTAATTACATGTCTCAAATAATCCACATAACCTTATATTTAAACTTATTTAGTCTGCAGTTATAAGCTTGTTACCTGGAAGCTTGTTTTTGTTTTCCTCTTGCAAGCTGGTTATGGTTCAGTCATGGTAGAATATCTTGGCGCAAATAAAGAACATCTGCTTTGACTGAGGATAAGAATGGCCACTTGGTCATCAGTGCCTCTTTTCAGTTTTACTGCCACTTAACCCTTCTTTGAAAGCTAAACATGGGAAGGTTTTTTTTTCAAACAGATACCACAATGCAAAATGAGTGTCTATTATTTTCACCATGATAGGTGACATTTGCACTGTATTGGCTCTGTATTGGCTCAAATAATAGCTTAGATCAAGGATTTTCAACCATGTCAGTGATAAGTCATAGGATTTTTCATGAAAACTGGCAAGAATTTAGTATCATTCTGTTTTACAATTACTTTAGCAGTTAAGTTTATACTCAACAGTGTTATGATAGTGTTCAACTATTAATGAAATTATTATTTGTTTTTACATAGTCCCAACAGTCCTAATAGTCTTGCTACTTGCTTATTTCTAAATTGCATGTCCCTTCTTCCCACTTCATGTCAAGGTCCCATGTCATTACTATGTCCATCCTATTGCTTTGTCATATGGTTTTATGGTTTTGTGGTGAACACTGCAAATCAAGTCAGGCCCTACTTGCGTTCACAGTGGTAATGCAATTAAATTTTTCCAAACATAACCATAAATAGAAGTGCACAATCTTAAGATGGGTAGAAAGTAATAAAATATATAAGGTTACTGCTTAGCCTGAATATCTGTGCAGACTATCTGAATTTTTATATATCATAAAAGTTCTGCACTGAAGTGACTAATATCTATTGAAAGAGTTGATTCCCAGCATTCTTCTTTAAACGTATGTTCTGTTGAAGTCAGTGGCAAAGTAGAGACTGTTCGGTTATAACATCAATTCTTGATGGTTTGTTTAGCTTTGGAGTGGGCAAAATATGGTTCTTTCGCCATCATTTGTATATTTGAAACCATCCTGGTCAACTAACTACAAGCTTACTGTGATATGCGTGTAAGCATCAAATTACTATGCTTTGGAGTTGATTTGCAAATTCATTTTCTATAGACTATGATTCATTGCTTCTTCAAACCCATTGTCCCAGCTTAATCTTGGTTTGTAAAACCTTCCTCTTTTTACCTGTGTAGCTAGTTCTGTTAGACTTTCAATTAAAACAATTGGTAAAATAGTTAAACCTCTTCGTTTCATTTTATTCATCTTTTCTTTCCAAGGGAATAATAAAAACAGTGTTGGGGATTTCTGCAAGGTAAGGGCTAGCCAGACAAATTTCCTCAATGGCTAATACAGACTTCTATCTAACAGAGGGAATAATGTCTTTCCCTGGAACAGAAACACTGATGATGGTGGTTGTTTTTTAAATGAAGAAATATGTGGGTTGAAGCCCCATCCCTCAGCAAGAGATCAAACGAATTATCATGAACTTGGGTCATGACTATTCCTTTTAAATCTGTGGAATACAATATGATAATTACTAGATATTTATACCAGGTTGGAGCTATTCAGACTACAACAGCACTTGTGGTCATAGTGTAATTAACTGAATTTCCAACACATTCATAAAAAACAATAATCTGTACCGACAGAAGGATAGAAAATATTTACTCCTCTCTTTGACTTCATAAATTGTGTTGTCCAAGTCAGAATATGAGTTTTGTCTTGTTTTGAGGTTGAGGTTGTTGAACATTGATGCTTTAAGTAGCTATTTCACTGAAAAAAACATATACATATTGTTTATTCTTCACAGGCCGTCAGACTCAAAATCAGAGAAATGGAATCAGTACACCTGCAGACAAACGGATCGAAAATGGGGTATGTGGTAAATTGCAAATAAAATAAATGTTATGGCTATTTCAGTTTATTCAGATCTGAAAATGTACTTAAATGCTTCTGAAGCACTTGCAGTGTGAAATAATTTTATAAATTTTACACTATGTTTTATCCACTACACCACACCCACTGTGGTGTAGTGGATAGAATAATGGACTAAGACTCAGGAGACTCAGTTCAAATCCCCACTCAGCCATAGAAACTCACTGGGGATGTGGAACTGGTAAAACCAGTCCTTGAATACTGTATTTCACTTACCTTTAAACTCCTACTAGGGTTGCTGTAAGCTGGTTTCAACTTGATGGTGCTTAACAACGTATCAGGAGAAACAATTGTACAGTATTTTAGGAATCTGTACTAAGGAGCTTCTTTTATGAAATTTGCCACACCTCCCTATCACATTCAATATTGTTCTTCTTTTCTGATAACAGTCACCATCCTAAATGCAATAATTCACATAGTACTAGAGTCGTTAGTAAAGTAGGTTAACTGTCTTCTGACATGTTTTACTTTTTGACATGTTTTACTAATATGCAATTCAGTCATATTTAAATTCCAATTGTTGGCTATTCTTTCTTAAGGGCTTCCTCTAATTAGTCTTCAAACAACAGGGGCAAAAAAGGATCCCACTGCTTGACTGGGATTGTTTAGTACCAGCTGAAATAACTCCAGATGATACTAATTACCTAGATTGTGATAGAACTCTTAGAGAAGAAAATTTCTTAGATGTGGCGGAACAATTCAGTTATACTGGAATGTACTATAATAACATTTTTTTCTCTAGTTGGTGCCATGTAATAATCCTTTAATACATTTAGTTGAAGTTTAACTTAAAAACCAATTAGATATTATCTTCAAAAGTGATTCTGGTTCAGAACAGGTAGCTGCAGTCTTCTATAAACAGAGAGAACTTTCTAATACAGTGAAATACACTTTTTGATATTCCGTGCCAAAGTTTGTTTTCTCTATGTGATTTTACAAAATATTATAGTTTAAGTGCTACACTAGAATGTTGTGGAAAAATACTGGGGCTGCATGGCATCTGTGTGTATGGAATTATCTTTTGAAATTGGTAGGACTACTTTGGAAATACTACATCTAACAGGAAAAGACATACAGCTATCTCTTTCATTACGCTAAGACCTCAGCTGGATGAGGTCAAACGCCTGTCTGACCCAAATCATTTTCCCTATAGAGGTCAGCCATATGCCTTTGAGGAAGCACATGGGCAGGACATGAGAGCAGTAGTCATCCCCTGTAGGTGTTCTTGTAGAAAAGAACAGTGCATGCCTATTTGCAAGCAAGACCTATTGAAAATGTATTTTTTAAAAAGAACAAACATGTAAAGAATTAATCTTTAATGAATGAAAGTACAACATGGAAAGCATCCCTTTAATGTAACTGGACTGAACGTGTATAGTGCTTCAAAATGTAGACAAGCTTACAGTAATTATCTGCACAATGACTGTCTAATAAGTCTGTGTACTTTCTGGCAGGAAGGAAAAGTAGATTTGCAGGCTCAGGTAATTAATCAGCTTACTCTTATGTAATTCATTATACTTAGTTTTCATGGAGTGCTTTTGCAAGCTCGAGAATAAATTCAGAAAGACTATGAAGTGTTTTTTCAATATGTTTTCTCAAGAATAAAAATTGTTCTGTAATCCAATGGAATGGGCGGATTCTGCAATAAGATGCTGATAGAATGTTTTAATGTTCCATACAACAGTGTGTAAATAGACATGCCTGCTTTCATTCACTATAGCTTTAAAGCTGATGTTATGAAGCTCCTACTCTATTCCACTGGTTTTAAGCCTCTTACTGACTGGTTAAATTTACAGGGTTGTAGGAGTATAGGAAAGAACCTTCATATTAGGTCAGATGGGGGACATGGAAGAAAAGTCCTTGAAGAATGTGAGGACTGTGAATACATTCAAGCATCTTCTGAGCAATGACAGCACCCTTTCAGCTGATCTTTTCACTCCAGAAGCACAATTGGAGCACTCCTGCCACAAATGAAGATCAGATCGGGCTGTTTGACCATTCAGCTCAGCTAAGAGCTGCAGGAATTTTTTAAGGTCTCAAACACAGATCTTTCCCATCACTTGCTAGCTGTTCCTTCTAACTGGTGATGTTGGAGATTTTGACAGGAACCTTTTGGTTGCAAAAATATATGTTACTCTGGTCCTTTTTGGCTTTTGAAAAAGAAATATATACTTTCTGACCCTGAGTAGCCGCTTTTAAGTACAATTGGATAATTTATAGAACTTTATGTCCAAGAGAAAATACACTGAGGTAGATCTAGAATTTGAAGTACTCTATGAGTACTCGTACCAGGTTGGCACTGAATTCCCAGTATGGTAAAATGGATTGAATGGCAGATTTGGAATCTGGAGAATAGGGTTCAAATCCCCGTTTAGCAATGGAAACTGAATGAAGGAATGGTTCTGGTAAAAAGCTATTCCTTAAATATCTCACTTACCTTGGAAACCCTGGTTAAGGGCACTATAAATCAGTTTTGACTTGATACCATGTAACAACAACAAACCAGGTTGGCAAAAGCTGTTTTCCTGCTTCTTCCTAGACATACTTTTCTAGGTGTTCTTCTCACCCTACATGTAGCCCCCCTCTGAAAATCCTGAGCTGTGTTGCCTACAAGTAAAGAAGCAGGGAAAGGACAGACTTGACTTTCAGCTGAGGATCACTGATCTCAAGTCTATATACAGCCAAAATACTCTCATATTCTTCCTCTGCTTACCTATGCCTCCATTTTGCTCTTCCTTCCAGTTTTGAGTCTTGAGTTTGCAAGTCCTTGGGGCTAGAATCTGTCATGTAAGAAGATGGTATATGACATTTTATATTAGAATAATGTACCATCTAAATATATTAGTTATCCATAGACATTATATAGCAAATAACATAGTTGTATGATCAAAGAAATAAAGTCTTGTTTCTCTAATTATTACATTAAGTCTAGTAGTGAACCGGGAAGAGATTTAAAAAAGAATTGAGGAAATGATTAGTGTAGTTCAAAGACTGATTCTGTTAAGTGCATGCCTTTTCTAATACACTTCTAGTATTAAAAGAAAATAAAAATACTGTTTTTATTGGGCTTTTACATAAAGAACAGAACAAATGATAAGAATCTGCAATCTAATATTGTATTGTCAATTAATCTGATACAAATTCCTTTCTAAAAATAATAAACATGTAATTGGGTTTATGTACTAATAAAATTAAAAATCCATTTTTAACAGTTCATGTTTTCATCCTTTTTTAATAAATGAAGTTGGATGACTAGTACAATGCTGACTTTATTCCTGTGGTGCAGGCCAATTAATCTTACTTTACTGTCTTGCATTGTTTATTGCACCATTTATTTATTATTTATTTATTTAATTTATATGCTGCCCACTCTACCCAAAGGTCTCTGGGCGGCTTACAACAATTTACATTTGTAAATGGCTTACAACCATTTACATACATTGTGGAGTATGCTGTGCTTGAGGTGTGAAGCCATGATCATTTTATCGTTATGATAAAGATGTCCAGTCCATTGGATATTGTGTCTACATCACAATATTCATTGTGACATTTGCACAAAAATGTTTTTCAAGAATGAAATTTTATTGCTGTGTTTACAAGGAAAAACACTTGAAATGTTATATAAATAGTTGGCCTCTACTATTTATGCAACCATTTTTAGAAGGCATTATCTGAGCCAATTTGAGTCCAACTGAGATTTCATATCCTCCTCCCTACCTCCCAGCCTTGTTCAGGAGATTGCTTGCCTGTTTTTCCCCTCTCCTCACATACTGTGCACCTGCAAATCTTTGAAATTAGAATTGGTTTAGTAAAACGCGGCTATATATTTTAAAAACAGCATATTGGTCACATTCATGTGCCATAAAGAAGGGGACATTGTTTGCATTATTTCATGTCCTATCTCACATAGGTTTGGATAAGTCTGTTTCCAGTTTTTGTCACTTTGATACCTTATTATGTCTGTTTCACACATTTTAAAATCTGTGTCTTAAAAAAAGTGAGATTTACATTTCGATGTTTTTATTTGTCATTTATTTCTTTATTTCCCTCCCTCAAAACACGTTTTAACATACTGTTTGGAAGCATTTGTAATGTGTTTGGTAGTTACCTTTTGATCCATATATTAACCCATGAGGTGTGGGTCATAATAGTTTGTATAGGAGTTAAGATAGAATTCCCTCAAAAACTAACAATGGTCAGGCTTGTCTAGAAGGGGAAGCATTTTCCAGGCCAAATTTCTCTTTTAATCTGTTTATCTGCTTTTTATTGTTGGTTTCTGCAAATAACAGGACAAAAATTGCAAATTCCTGGGCTATTAAAACATGCTTTGGAGGGAAGGGGAAACTACATAAATGTTCCTCTACTTTAAAAAGCTGATCTGGAAAAGTAGATTAGGAAGGAGACACCCTTTATTACCTCTGTGCAGATATTCTATGCGTACCTCTGGACAAAAACTTACTGTATCACTCACAGTCCGGGAAGAATGTACTTGCTAGATTCTACTTTTTGAATGGAATGTCTCTTGAGAGAGATTCTAGCAGTTGAGCCTTTGACCGGGTACATGCATAGCATGTTCTGGGCTGCCCATCCCTGTTCTGATTACATAAGCTTGAAAACAATCTGCCTGTATCCCATCATTCTGGTAGAAATGTTATAAACAGATGAAAAGTTTGTTTAGAAGTAATGTAGAGATACAGAGGAAATGACTTCTATATTTAGGAGTTTACGTTTGCCTTCACTGTTTAACAGCTGATAATCTTGCCAGCCTATAATCATGCCCATTCTTTCAGTGAAGTGGTTTTGCTGGTGTAGAACTAGATCTAATATTACGATACCATGTCACCACATAGTAGAATTGAGGATAAGGTTATTTTTGAGGGGTTGCTGCATTTTTCTTCCATGTTTTTGAAGTGTTGTAGGAGGAGAAAAAATCAGTTAAAAAAAGTCCAGAGCATTTATAGCTTATTAACAGTCCAGGCTTACTCAGAGAAAGAATAGATCTGGCTCAGAATGGATTCTGCTGGACAAAATAGGCTGCAGAATGGGGCATGACTGAGAGGAAGAAGACCTTCCCCTCTCTTTAGAAAGGAGATAAAAGAGAAGGAACACTCAACGAAGTTGACTTTTAAATATACAGTACTTGTCTAAAAATATACTATAAATTGCAGTGTGGGGGTAGACAGACGAGATTTTAAAGTAGAATTTCCACATATGGGCAAAAGTCAGGCTGCCATTGGGGGAAAGAGACGTAAATAGGGTCCATGTTAAAATTTGCTATAGTATGTATCTGTTAGTTTTGGCAGCATCCAGAGTGAATGGAACTCTGCTCATGAATTTTTCTGGATTTTAATTTTTGTCTTTCAGAATTAAGCATCTCCTTAGTCTGCAAGTGTAGCAAATAATTTTTGTCTGATAATTATCATGACTTTTTCCAATGCTGTATTTATCTTGTGTAGTCTGCTTCTCCTGATAAGACAGCAGGTTTTGATGCATGTCGCTCAATGTGGCACACTATTACTCTAAACATTGACACTGCTCCAGAGTTAAATAGAGAAGCAGTAATGGCCTTCCACTTTGATTTGATATATAGTTTAGCAGCTGTTTAATATTGCAAAGGGACAGATATAAAGCTTTATATTGACTGAATACTGAATGTTTGTATTTTGAACTTCTCTCTATAATCAGCTGTGAAAGGAGAACTCCCTCACCATTCTACACTGAATATGAAAAGTGCAGTGCATCAAGCTGATTAGAGCTGACAGCTGGCTTGATCTTGTCATGATTAGGTCTTTCACTGCTGGCAAAATCCACTAGCCTTTTCCATTCACTGATTGCTGATGAATGCAGAGAGACAGCTTTCCATATTGATAAAGGATGAGGGGTGGTGTTGGGTTTTATGGGCTGTGCGAGAAGGGACAAAACTTACCTAATATTGATTAGAGCTTCAAAAATTGGGACAGAGTGTCCTCTTTTAAAATGGGGGAGGAATTTGCCAGTGTGCATTTAAAGCAACAATTAACACAATTGTTGTAGTAGAAATGGGGGAGGGGAGAATGGAGTTTAAGCACATTGAAGCAATGCAAGAATTTACCACTGATGGGCAATGCAGCAGAATAAAAGTATATTATTTTGCAGTTACTTGGAAAATTTGGCACCAGGTAATACATGCTTTCAGAATATTTTATTTTGGTGGACACAATATCTTGCAGTTATGTTGTTTCTGACTGAATTTACGAATTGTCTTAATAATCATTTGTAGCATAGGAAATCTAAACTTTGGTAATAATCTCACAAAATTGTTAAAAAGTAAGAAATGTACATGGCAATAGTTGTGTAGTGCCTCATAGTATCGATGAAGTGTAGATTTTTTTTCTGATTGTTTTTGCTCCCAGGCATTGCATCATCTATGTAGACAGTTTCTTTAGCCACTGTATTGGAAAACACATGATTAAGTAATAACTGTGTTATTTAAGAATCTTGTAATGAGTCTTAATCATCCTGGGCTGGAACACATGAAAATATGGTTGTGTTGGGAATGTTCCTCTTACTATCCAGAAAAATCTAGTTTAAAACATTAAGCATTTTAAGTAGATACTAGTCATGTAATGAGGCATTTCTATTACTCATAATTGTTTTGGATTAAAGAATGGTGATAAACAAGAACATTCATATGTTTAGTTTGAACTTTTCCAAAATACAGTATGATAAACGGAGAACTCTATCTGTATTTACCAGTCTCAGAACCTTTAGAAATATCACTTGCAGAAAGAGCTCATGTATAATAGATGGCAAATGTCAGCTTTTTAACTTGGTTTGCTTATGTTTATCTGACTTGTTGGAACTAATTACCCGTGATACTCCTTGGGTTAACTATTAGAATAGGCTAATACGTTATAGCTCTGATTTTTTTTTCACTGAAGCCAATTTTCTGTGTTGTTTTTAAAGCAAATTATATTTCTAGGGGACCTAGGTGTTAGAGCTGACCCGTCCAAATAAAATAAAATAAAATAAAAGGAAAGGAAAGAGCACTGAAGAAACCCTTGCATTTTATTGTACAGAAGACATCTAATTGTGTTGGCATGTGGTAGGCATGCTAATAAGATTGCTATTTATGTATATCTGCCTGAATTCATATTGGCAAATTGCTTGTCTGCAGATAAAATCAGATACAAGTAGAGAAAGGGTGATCCCACCCCATACTGGTTTCCCTGTTAACTAGTACAGTTTAAGTCATTATATTTGAAAAATTATTAATTTCTTCATAAGGTGGCTATTCATGTTTTAACATGACAATAAGATCATTGGTTTGTGAGTCATGTGTTTATTATTTTGATTTTAATTATGAAAACTGACTGGTTTATCTGAATTTGATCAGCCTGTTCCTTTCCATAAAGCTAAGAAAAGGACTGTTGGTATGGTGTTATAATTGGCTTTTCAAATGGATTCTGCTGCTGGCATTTTCTGACCTGATTTTTAAAAATACAAGACAGAGCTGTGGGTGAAACCATTAAACTGGCAATAATGTCATGTACTCTGAGACCATATAACTAGTTATACCTTCTATAAGATTTAAACATGCATGGTGTCATGTAGTAGCAAAGTCTGCTTACTGTAAGAAATGGTGGCTGGGAAACTGAAGATGACATCCAAATTTAGTTTGTTGAAAGGGATTCTTGTCTTTTAAATTGCATAGTTTAGCCCCTCTACGGTTTTTTGTTTGTTTTTTGTTTTGGACTGTGGCCCATTCTTTCTGATGTATCTGAAGAAGGACATTGCAGACCATAACAGCTCTTCAGATTGAAGAGTAGGTTTTGGTCTTTGTTTGAGTACCAGTGCAGAGTAAGGAGGAGGAAGTGGGATCATCCCAGTCCACAGGCAGAATTCCGATTGTGATTCTTTGGAT